GGATTCAAGCTCACGCCATTCCTGATCCTTAAATCAGATCACGCCTGTATGTTCGAAAACATAAGCCAGGACACGCTGCCCGTTTATTACCGATTTGATTGGAAGGCCTGGATGACGCCTGTCCTTTTTGAGGATTGGTTTACGAATTGTTTTATACCCCAAGTAAAGGAATATTGTGAACAAAAGGGGATTCCTTTTAAAATTCTCCTCCTCCTAGACAAAGCACCCGGACATCCCCCACATCCTGACAGTCTCCACCCCGATGTAAAGGTAGTTTATCTACCCCAAAACACCTCAGCTCTCCTACAGCCTCTGGGAATGGGGATGATCTCGGCATTCAAGATGTACTATTTGCACGCAGTGTTTGCCAAAGCCTTAGCCGCGATGGAATATGATAGAGTAACGGTGCGCGAGTTTTGGAAAAACTACAATATCCTGCATTGCATTGAAAACATTGCAATCGCCTGGCAGGATGTGAGTGGGAAAAGTATGCAAGAGTTTTGGAGAAAGTGTTTAAAACGTTTTGTTGCTCTCACAAGCAACTTTGAGCTATTTCACCGAATCCCAAATTTGGACGAAATAAATCGGAAAATTTTGATGCTCACGGGATTCCTTGATTTAGAGGTCAATGCCGAAGACGTGAAAAATTTGGTGGCGTATACGGAAGGGGAGCTATCTAACGAAGATTTAATTGAACTGAAGGAAGAACTGGAAGCCCAAAAGATCGTGGAAGAAGAGGTGGAGAAAGAAGAAAGGAAAGAAGAAAGGAAAGAAGAAAGGAAAGTTGTGGAGGTGCGGCCCAAAACGTTCAGCCTGAGAAGATTGGCCAGTGTTTTCTCGAGTGTGAACAAAATTTTATCCGAATTAGAGAGCATGGATCCGGATGTGGAACGTTTTAGAAGGGTACACTGGGAAATGTGTGAAATCTTAAAATGTTACCGTGAAATATATGAAGGAAAAAAGAAAGAAAAGAATGATAAAGAAAACAAACAGAGCGGGTTGCTGAAGAAAGTTACTCCTCCTCCAGCTCCCCTTCCCTATCCTTTGCCCTTCCCATCTACAGGAACACAAAGCCCAGAAGATCCACAGCCGTCAACCAGCTACGCCAGTGGATCCGATGTTCCTGAAAACACAGACAACTATGAATATTTTCAAGGATTTATATCCAATCTGATGCTTACAGGTACTGTCATTTCAAAACCCATTGGGAACAGGTGGCTTTCATTTAGTCACTGCTTTTTGTTTTCTTCCAGTAACCAGAGTGTTGGTGAAAAAGTGACTCTATGACCAATCCTCCCATTTATAACTGTCACATTTTTATAAAGCGAAGAAAATATGCAGGAATTGGGTAGGTCTAGTAGTTTAATAGAAAGAAGGACTAGGGGAGACATTGAATTGAATTGAATTGAAT